CCACCAGACTGCTACATTGTAACTAAAAGGAACTATGGCCAAAGAAGGTTGGGGGTGATAGTTCTTATAAATCCCCCATTTAGCTGAATTCTACCAAACATGAGCTGAGCTGGTGGTCCGGCACCATAAAGCCGGGTGAGAATTTCATATGTAAGATCCGGTCTGAACATTGGATGCCATCAGACTTGACGAATGTGTTCCAAATGCCATTTGTTTTTAACATTCGATTTTGCAGATGAATGGAGATTCCAGAATGAAAATCACATTCGCTGGAAGAAATTCATTCGAGGAAAACAAAAATTCCATCCCGGCCCTTCCATATTTCTGGTCACTAGAGACGAAAACCGCTAGTCGGTGTGACCTCATGAACTATTACATCAAACGACGGCTCCGTAAACCTCCATTTCCGGTGACAGATTTCAGGTGACTGTACCGGATAACGTGCAGAACGGATTGGAGTACATATGGGAACTCGAGCGCTCTTCTATAGTCGCCGGATGTTTTTATAATCACCCGTATGGCGCCATTCATGGACTCGATGACCAATGAAATCACCGCCATTAATAAAGCTGATCTGACGTGCTCGGGGAGTACATAGCGCACGGATGCGGTTTCTGGTGATCTTATCCACTCGCCTGTTGGCGGATGATGGATGGATTGGTAGGAAAAGTGGCTCCACGCGGCACAGAGTTCCTCCCCTCTGACAAGGGAAGCCGGTACACACCGCGGGGAGAACCATTCTACAGGAATAACGTTTAATGGGGAAGTAAAACGGAACGGCTTTAATATGCGAGCTGAATGTGACGGGCGGCCGAGGCGGGAAACTCCCGCAGCCTCACGGTGCCGCTATGTTTAAGGGCCCATTCACACCACATCCAGATCATCTCCAGACCAGATCAGATTGTTTCCGGACCCAATATGCATCCTAATGCATCACTATGCTAATTCTGGCCTCTGTTCACACCAGCGCAGTCCGTTCCAGACCAGACCAGAACAATACTGCATGTCTCATTGTATGGTCTGGAATACACTGGAACTGCGGGCAGGTTCACACCATTTTCCGGACCAGATCTGGTCTGGAAAATGGTGTGAACCTGCGCTAAAGGAGATCTCCGCCAAGCTTCCCTAGTACCCAAAGGGGCAGCTCCAAGTAGGTGAACGAGACACTGCCCAGCCCCTCTGAAAAGTCAGGCACTCGGTCATGGACCGAACGCCCGACAGTATCAGGAGAGAGGAGGGGACCCGGCGGCATACCTTATCCCGCCAGGTGACTGTCCACTCCTCTCTCTGCCAGCGTCCATCACCAAGATGGCCACCGGCAGGTATCAGAACTGGCGCGCGTGCGCAGTGACGTCTCGGCGGGGTGACACTCGGTTACCGCTCCAGGTGTCACCCAGCCTCGGGACGCCCCTGTAGTGTGGACACCCAACATGAGCTCTCCATAACCTTCATAGGGCATCTAAAGCCAAGACTCTTGTTTTGAATACCGCGAGAAGAGTTCAAACCAGCCGGGACTTCTGCCATGTCCCATTGGGGAGATTTTCCTTTAGTTAGGAAGTTAGTGAAATGTTCCCTTCATACCCGTGTGATACGACATCACGTGTGCGGTACAACCGAATGAGGCTAGGCTTACACCTTCACTACACCGCATGTCCCGGGTGTCGTGCTCTCCCGCACAATGCAGGCAGCGATTGCCGCGTGGCCCTATTGATTTCAATGGGGTGACATCTGCGCAGCAATCGCAGAAAAGTACAAGTACCTTTTTTTTTTT